AAATTGCAATAATATTTCACAATATTACAGTTTTTTCTGTATTTCTGATCAAATAAATGCAGACTTGATGAGCAGAAGAGACTTATCTAAAACACATTACAAATATTACTGATCCCAAACTTTTGAATGGCAGTGTGTGTATATATATATATATATATATATATATATTAGTCCTAAAATATGCTTCATTTTGTTTGTGCAAAATATAAGTACTTATTTTTATTTTTTGATTCTGTAGTGAAACATGAGTCAGGTTTGGTGAGATTCACCCATCGGTTCCTCCATCATTTGTAAGGCTTTTGGGAGGAGAATGCCCATGTTCTAATGTTTTGCGTATGTCGCATCAGCATATTAAACGAGTCAGAACTGCACCAATTAACAGCTACAGAACAAACAGATGCATTAATGAAATAAACAAATGAAACTAGACTTTATTTCCCCGATCGAAATGCTGAATTCAAAGCACTTCCAGGAGATATTAGTATAGTGTACAGTATAAGGCCTATTCAAACAAATGCTTATTTTTTCCACCCATGTAAAAGGGAAAAACATCATGCGGAGCCCCTTTCCATATTTGGTTCCTAATGGAGTCGGACACACAGTTATGACAAGAAAAGAATTTCCATGATCCGTTAATGTTGATATCTCATATCAATTGATAAAAGGTCATAGGAAAAATATAGATATTTATGTTGCAGTTAAGTTTATCTTACAAAATACAAAATCATTGTTTTTAGTGGTGTGGTCTACTAAGACAAGTCCCTCAAATTGCAGTAGAGAATCAAAAGCAAATTCAGACTAACCAACGTCTTCCTTCAATTGGGAAAGATCCTGTGGCGAGACGCATAACAGACCGTTTCTTCCGATGGATTCTGCAATTTGTTAGGGAAAGGCAGACGAAGGACGAAAGGCGAGAGTCTTTGTGTGTGTGTGTGTGTGTGTGTGTGTGTGTGTGTGTATATATATATATATATCGCTAACAGCAGAGCCGGTGAACTCGGGTTGATGTTTATGTCTGTTTTATGTGACACCCACCTATAAACCTTCAGTTCTCACAGGGCCTCCGGCGTTTCTTAACACGTGCTCTAATTTCCCACAAAAGAGCGACTCGCTCCCAATGGACCCAAATCAAATCTGAGACTCCGCCCCCTTCCTCCTGGCAGCCAATCCGCAGCGACCGGCCACCGCAGTTGATTGGTTGGTTGGTTAAACAGGCGATCTGAATTTCTTCTTTGCGCAGCTAATTGACTTTTCTTAATCAAAGACAGCGAAGGACCACTTAAATATTGGAAAACAAAACAAAAGCGCAGCAGAAGTGTTCCTGGTGAATCTCAAGCCCTCCCCGGCACCGGGACACGTGGGGTCTCCCGAGGGCTGCTTGAGGGGCAGGTGAGGGGCTATAAGGTGAAGAACACAGAGATGCAGAGCAGCAGCAGGGCCAGCAGGGGGCGTGACGTTTGGTGCCACAGGCCTGAAGTCGACACGTCGCTCCGGGACGGTTCAGCCTCGTGACTGGTGTCATCTGGAAACGAGGAGACACCGAAAAAATGTGATCAACTTCTGTGCAGTTGGTTGTAGAATTTATATATATATATATATATATATATATATATAGTATATGTTATAAGTAATCTTATAACATATAAACTATATATACATATATATGTATACATATATGTAATCTATTTTTGGAAGTCCCTCATACACACACACACAAACACATACACAAACACACACATATATATATCCATATCAGGAACTTAAAAAAAAAATAAAAATTACACGCATCACCTTTAAATATCTTTTTTTTTTATTAATATGTAATGCATTTTAATGGTTTAATTTTAAAGATGTAAAAGGATGTCTAATCAACTGAATTCATAAAACATTTATCAATAATAGTGCCAAACTTGTTACCATGAACTAAAACCATAAAAACATTAAATACTTGAAATAAAATTAACTTTTTCTGAAATAAAATAAAATATATAAAAAGTAATCTTATTTAATTTTTAGCTAGATGCAAGGCAGCATTTCTCATTTTCATTTAGTTTAACTTGATGTGCTAAAATAACTAAATGCAATAAAAATTTGTAAAACACAACAAAATTACAAAAATTGTAACTAAAATTAAAATGAAAACAAAATATAAAAATAAAAAAACTAATTCAAAATAATAATAAAAATTTAATAATTTATTAAAATGTCAACAATAACTTTTTATTTTTCAGACATTGTTTTCAAGTCACCTTTATTTATTTATATTGCACTTTACAATACGGATTGTTTGTCAAAGCAGCTTTAAAGTGTAATCGAGCCCTGTGGTTCCCTGTGGATTACTTTGGCCACACGTATTACAAATTGCGAACTTTGTGTCTTCTTCACTCACAGTGAAGTACTTCCACGCTGACGACATGTTTACATGCGGATGTGAGCATAGCTGTGACGTCAAAACGGACCGACTGATTCCACTCCCTGGCCGGTCGATACATTCTACTGTACAACAGTAATATTGTGCACGTCAGGGTTATAATAGTTCACTAAAACTATAAAAAAATCATTAGTTAGCTGCAGGATATTCACTGTACTTCAGAATTACAGATTCTTCATATTAAGTAAGTTCAAAATAATAATTTTGACCGGAAAATGTCATCTGAACAAGTAACATGTCTGCCACTTTTGTTCTGACCAACTGAGAAAAAAAAGCATTACAGTAAATCGCGCTACCAATGGTGATTAAATCTAACGATTGCTTAGCTCATATCACATCAAACCGTGCAAATTATTGTTATACTTTGTTCTCAAATTCTTAATGTTAACAACATAAGCATTCCGTGTAGTAAGTGCCTATTAGTGTTACCTGTAGATTTCAATTTCTGTACAGTCTAATCTCTAATTGTCATACCATTCGAATTTCATATAATTAAATTGTTCTTTTAACCCAAAAGCAAATTAATGTTCTTTAGAACTGGTTCTCTTTGAAATACAAATCTTGTGTAATCCCACATAACTGTAATCAGATGCACAGTTAAAACTGGAATATTTTTTTCTATAGCCACTCCGAGGTCCGAAGTCTTTTGTTTTTGACTACGGGTGAATCTCCAGTTGTCACTGATGATTGTCGTTTACAATCCGCCGTCAAAATGAGAAGTTGAATTATTCCAGCTGCTGTGAGAAAAGGCTGTAAATGACCCGTCACCGGCAGCATCCTCACATGCGTAATCGCCTACTGGCCAGGACTCCTTCTTTATGTTTACAGACGTGACGTAATGATGCAAAGACGAACGGCGGCATGCTCATATTTCCCGCGAAAACCTACCAGTACCACTCAAATTAGAACACAAGCTTACCGCTGTGAATCGGGCTAAAGTAAGGAGATAGTTGTACTTGCTCAAAAATTGATTTGATGGACTACAGCTTTAAAATAAACTTACACTGAAAAAATAAAAAAATTATATATATATATTTATTTTATTTTTTTTCCTAATTGTAAGTTTACAAATGACAAAAACACGACAAAATTACTAAAATTTAAACTAAAATGAAAACAAAAATAAAAGCTAATTCAAAATATTACTAAAACATGTAATAGTATCTGAATGATACTAAACAATAACACTAGTGCACGTCCATTTGCTGTCTAAGCTTTAAGCAGCAAATGAGCCAGACTCCTGTTGTCAGAATCCTCAGTAATAACGGAGGCAAAGCTGTTTGGAGTCTCAGTGCATTTCTGCTGGTCTACTGGTGCAGACACACAGACTGTGGTTATCATCAGTGAGCGTGATATGGCTTTGGAAAGCACAGTGTCTCTCTGAGGGGGAAACGGACAGGTGTGGCGCTAAAAGAGACAGATAAATATGGTTGGGAGGACAGAGCAGTTTGCTGGCTCATTCAGGCGGGCAGACAGACACCTCCAGCCTCTCAGTGGGGATCTGGACTAATAAATCAATGCCTCCATCATGACACGGCGCTGCCAGGAACTCAGGCCTGGGTGGGTGTGTGTTGGCAAGGTGAAAATGCATGAGAAAACTATACTGTGTTCAACTACACTGACACTATCTGCAGTGTTAATTGATATAAGCATGCGCTTTTAACACCTTTTCACCACGGATCGCCCACCAAACTGAAACTGGCTCTGCACTTGGTTTTCTGAGCCTGTGAAATGTTAACACTTTATTTGATAGCTCACTTCAGACATTCTACTAACTATAAGTAACTTTGTAAGAACCCTAACAATAAACCCAACCTGAAAGTCTACTATTACTCTAATGAGAGTTAGCTGACGTGTAATAATGTTTTTGTAATGTTTTTTAAAGAAGTCTCTTCTGCTCATCAAAGCTGCATTTATTTGATCAAAAATACAGAAAAAACAGTAATCTTGCAAAATGTTATTACAATATAAAATAATGGTTTCTATTTTAATACCCTTTAAAATATAATTTATTTCTGTGATGCAAAGCTGAATTTCCATCATCATCACTCCAGTATAACGTGTCACATGATCTTCAGAAATCATTCTAATATGCTGATTTATTATTAGAATTATCAACAGTTGCGCTGCCAAATATTTTTTTGGAAACTGCGATACTTTTTTTTAGGATTCTTTGATGAATAAAAAGTTAAAAAGAACAGCATTTATTCAAAATATAAATCTTTTCTAAAAATATAGATCTTTGCTATCACTTCTTATCAATTTAACACATCCTTGCAAAATAAAAGTTTTGATTTCTTAAAAAAAAAAAGAAGAAACATTGACTGAACCCAAACTTTTGAACTGTAGTGTATATTGTTAGAAAAGATTTATATTTTAAATAAATGCTATTCTTTTTAACTTTTTATTCATCAAAGAATTCTGGAAAAAAGTATCACAGCTTCCAAAAAAATATGAAGCAGCAACAGTTTCAATATTGATAATAAATCAGCATATTAGAATTATTTCTGAAGAATCATGTGACGCTGAAGACTGGAGTAATGAAATTCAGCTTTGATCACAGAGATAAATTAAGATTTTAACGTATATTAAAATAGAAAAACTTTATTTTACATCATAATAATATTTCACAATATTATTTTTCCCCCTGTATTTTTGATTAAATAAGTGCAGCCTTGATGAGCATAAGAAACTATATTAAAAATCGTTCTGATCCCAAACTTTTGACCGGTAGTGTAAGTAAGTCTCGTATAGTTTGTAGAATGTCTAAAGCAGACTATGGAAATAAAGTGTAACCTGTGAAATAATCTCTACATCTACAGATCAGAAAGTCTACAGTAGGGCTGGGCGGTATCGAGTTTGTATGATATAGAAATATATTTTTTAAACGATATGGTATGAGGCAATACTGTTTATATTGATATACAGTAATTTGATACACAGAGTCAGCTGCTGCGGGGAAAGTGCATAATCCAATTTGTTCTAAACATGAGGCATGCTTTATATTAAGGGCTGTAAAATAAGATAGTTAACACGTGTAGTTTAAAGCGGTTTGTCCCGTCAGAAAGGCTGCATGTGCTGCTAACAGCTACTGTTGCTGTGTAATGCGTTTGAGATGTGCTGTTTTCCTCAATGAACTTACATTTCACAGCTATATTCTCCATCTGTAAATGTTAGAAAGTCATGGAAATATTCCCATTTTGTTGTTGAGTCTCCGCTAAACTTCACAGACTTCAGGGAACAAGCGCCGCAGCACATATGTGCCAAACAGACGGAGCGCAATAGAATAGGAGCGCAAAAATTCTGATTAAAAAAATACACATTTTGCTGAAATATTTGTAGCTGGCCAATGAATGTGCCATATGTAGACTTTTAAACCTACAAGTAAGTGTATTTTTATGATAGCAGTAACTGTACAGTGAATTAGTCTGCTTTCATTTTTATTTTTAGCTTAGTGAATTTACCTTCATTATTTTAGTTTTTAGATTTTAATGTTACAATGTAATAAAGTAATGCACATAATATATAGCATAGCCTACATAGTTACACTCACTATTTGTTTTCATAGCCTTTAATATGAACATTGTTTCACTGGACAACATTGGGCAGGATGTAAAATAAAAGTTGTTTTTTTAATCCAAAAAGAAAAATATAGAAAATACAGAGATATATACCATATATGGCAAATCAGCAAATTTAATTTAATTTATAATAGTTTAATTAGATTTTAATCATCAACGAGCATGTCTAATCAATTGAATTCATAAAACTTTAATAATTTATTAAAATTGTAACAATAATAATTAAATGTAGATTTTTTTTCAGAAATTCTGTGTTGTTGTTTTAAATTAATCTGATTTATTCTGTATGATTTAATTTAATACAAATGTATCATCAAAAATAGTAGCTTTTAAAAATCTTTAGCAATTTAATTAATCTTTTAAAATTTAACAAAATAAAATTTGAACAAATCCTATTATTTTTTTGAAAACAGTGTTTTCCATTTGCATTTAAAATTTTATTTAATTTAAATAATAAAAAAGCTTGTCTAATCAATTAAATTCATATAACTTTAATAATTTATTAAAATGGTAAAAAAAATTCTGTTGTCTGTTCTTAATTGTTCTGTTTTAAGATGTAATGCAAATTTATTATCAAAAACAATGGTATTATAATTAATGTATATTACTTTAACAATTTAATATTTTAAAATGCATTCAAATGAAATTTCAACAACTTGTTTTTTTCCCCGTTTTCTTTTTTTTGTTGCAAACAAAGTGCTGCAAAAGGTTTATAGTTTATATTAAAATGTGGATTTATTTTTTTTGATATTCCTTAAAAAACACTTAATGCTTTAATAAACAATCATTAATTAGTGTTATTATCATTGCTATTTTGAGACGTACATTATATTGTACAATATGTTTCTATCATAATTTCTTCAAGTTTAACCAAACTTTTAACCAGAGTAATTTTGGTGGGTTGTAGTGAAAACTTTGAGGTTCTGTGTGTATTTGACGAGTTTTCTCAAATGAAATGGTGACGGAGTGACTCTCAGACTTCTTATTTAAACATCAGTCTTTTTGCGCTTTAATATGCAAGTCCATATTTCTTTTTATCCAAATTTTGCCACATTTCTGTGACATTCCACATTTTTATGACTGGACTCGTAGGCAATATGCTTGTGGACAGATTCGCCATTAATCACCACATAAAACCAAAGCAGTCTGTGGTTGGTCACAGTCAGACGCTCATTTCGTGTCACAGTGGGCTTTACACCAATTTACAGTCCGACTTCTCCCTTGGTCTACTTCAGGACATCTTGAATTTGAATGCAGCTCCAATGTTAGATCATGACACCATGAAAGTCAAAGCTAGCGTGACAGAAATGGCAATAAATATTACGAGCCGGGATTCATGCATATGTTAGCAAGTGCCATGTGTTCGGATGTAATGGGTTTTATCAGGCAGAAGCCAAAACAAGCTTGGCATCGTCCCACATGACACTGCTAATTTGGCACAAAACCATTGTGCATATCCAAGTTTTGGATGTTACTTCTTCCCGCAGTCGATGTGCATGCATATATTGATACAGTGTGTAAATATAATCCATGCATTTCAGCTGGAAGCCACGATAGACACTGACTGACTGAAGCTTCTGGCTCGCTTAAAGGTCACATGGCTAATTTCTGGTCGCTTAATTGCTTGTGCACAGGGTGGAGATGCTGACAGACAGCCCTCAGCTATTACAAGAGAATGCATTATTAATACGATGTGCACCTCATGCATAAATAAAACAGTCTTTGTGGTCTGAAGTGTCAGAGAAGCCGCAGGCGCAAATCAAATCAAGGTACATTAATACACATGCACAGAGTGATTAGAGCAAGTAAAGCACACAGACTGAACAGAGCGAAGGTGATGTCAAGCCATACTGACCTCTTGGTTCTAATGCATTGCCTACTTTGTCATCGACAAAAACGCGGTCATGAACGCCTATGGTTTTCTCGCAGCCATCTACAAAAACAGAAGAAATGAAAAAGATACCGTAAGCCAATCATGTTAGTGGTAATTCAGCAGCCCGACCCACCTGCCAACCAGAGGAAAGCACACAGAAGCAGTCACCTGCCGTTAATGTCCATTAAAGTGTGTTGCATTGAAAGGCATGGGAGTTTCTGTAACCCAATGTGACACTTACTCGGTGGTCTCACGTACACTTTCAGCTTGAGACACGACCTTCTCCCGGTTTCTGTGATCATGGATGCTGTAAAACACAAAGAAGAGATAAGAAAAGGTGAATACACACACAAACACCTGAGAAAGATATCGTCTTAGTCTCACACTACACACACACTATCCTATAAAGTTGCGGCTCGCGGGTGTATTTTGTGGTCCGAAATAGTAAAATTGCTCCTTTCCTGTGGAATCTAAAGGGTGTGCACAAACACACACACACACACACACACACACACACGCGGCGCCTGCGGGGTGAAGAGAGGAACGCCACACCGTCATTTGTGGTTTTCTGTCACTAGCAGTCTGCTGGTTTATCAGCCGATTTGGGCCCCAAGAGTTTTGAGCACAAATATACCAGACTGAATTCAAAAGAGGAAAATCACAGCTGAAATTATAGAGTGACTTCATCTCAAATTTATTTTTAGGCAAAGTGTTTCTTGAATGCTACAGTTAAGGTCCAGTAGGGAAGAAAAATCGCACAAAGATCTAGACAGAAGCAGAATTAAATGGAGATCTGACTGAAGTATTCTACAAAGTCCCTCAGGGGAACGCAGAAGATTTGCAAGTGAACAAAATGTTTTGCAAGCGAATACAAAGTTCCTCGGAGAACGCAGACATTTTGCAAGTGAACAGTTTCTCAGGGAATGCAAAAAAATTGCGAGTGAAGAGTTTGTCTGTGGGATGCAAAAGTTTTGCGAGCAAAAACAGTTTATCTGAGAACGCAAAAATTTTGCAAGCAAACCGTTTCTCTGAGAAACATTTTGCAAGTGAACAGTTTCTCAGGGAATAGAGCAAAAACAAAAACAGTTTATTGGGAATGCAAACATTTTGCAAGCAAAAACTAATTTTCTCTGAGAATGCAAAAAATTGCAAGTGAACACCAATGTTTTGCGAGCTAAGTTTCTCTGTGATGCGCTAAAGTCTCGCAAATGCAAAGTTTCTTGGTGGAACGCAAAAGTTTTGCAAGCAAACGTAAAGTTTCTCGGTGGAATGCAAAAGTATTTTTCTTTTGGAAAAAAAAGAGAGAGATTTCAACAGCATCTCAAGAGAAATTAGCCAACATTCCAAAGATCTCAAACACCTCAAATTCTCCCAAGACCAGATGACCTGAGATATGCATCTGTCAACATTTGACTAATTAATGTCTTATTCATAGCAGTTTTAAGACAAATGGCAAAAAAATCAGCTCTTTCAATGAGACATACAGTGGGTACGGAAAGTATTCAGACCCCCTTCAATATACTTAGGACCATGTGATATTTCAGTTTTTCTTTTTTAATAAATCTGCAAAAATGTCAACAATTCTGTGTTTTTCTGTCAATATGGGGTGCTGTGTGTACATTAATGAGGAAAAAAAATTAACTTAAATGATTTTAGCAAATGGCTGCAATATAACAAAGAGTGAAAAATTGAAGGGGGTCTGAATACTTTCCGTACCCACTGTAAATGTGAAGTTTCTTAAGCCTTGAAAGAGAAAACTCTGAGGAATTCTGTGTTCATCTGAGGTTATTCTGTGAGCTTTATTAAGACGGATAGCGCAGTGCAAGTCCAACGGTTGGACTAATTAAGGCTAATTACTCTCAACATGGGATTTTATTCAGTGATCTTTGGTGGAAATGTGCTGTGGTGTGTGTGGGATGTGTAGAGTTCCTACATTACAGTCCACACTGTCTTTTAACACTTCGAAGTCGACAATCACAAGCAGTTTACCTCCATAATGTAATGCATTTCTGAATGAAACAGATGGACAATAAATGTAGGCCAGGACTTGGTTTTATCCATGAGGAATTGATTTCAGAAACAGCCGCAATAACACCATTATGAAAGTAAATAGGGTCAGTTTTGCTTTCCATGTTTTAAAATTGCATCAGAACTGATGTCTCACTTAAAATGTGATCTTTGTTTTTCATGACTTCAAATGCAAAATATTACACCGATATCTTAGAATCATTCATTCTGCACATCAATCTGCTATGAAACATCTTGAATATCTTAAAATCAGCACATATTGACAGCATTTTGTAGTGACATCTGTATGTGTAATGCACATTTCTGAAGTGAACTGCTCTATCCTGATCAGTACTCTCTGCCGGTTGAGTTTATTAATGGAATGAAAGAAACACCTGAAGCATGTCATGAATCCAAATGATAGAGTTTCACAAAGGAAGAGCCAAATAAAGCCGACAAACAGAGAAATAAAAGACGCTAAAACTCGCTAAACTGGATTACATTACAAGCAACATGACTTACAAAAAGTACCTTTTGGACTTTTTAGACAATGGTAATATCTTGTTTTTTTAACCATGGCATTCTTTGAAGAACTTTGAAATTGTACTTATATTTTTCACATACTTTTATGTTACAAAAAAATTCAATTTCAAATAAATGCTGTTCTTTTGAACTTTCTATTCATCTGTGAATCCTGAAAAATAAAATGTATCACAGTTTCCACAAAAATATTGTGCAGCACAACTGTTTTCAACATTGATAATAATCAGAAATGTTTCTTGAGCAGCAAATCAGCATATTAGAATGATTTCTGAAGATCATGTGACACTGAAGACTGGAGTAATGATGCTGAAAATTCAGCTTTGATCACCGAAATAAATTACATTTGAAAACATATTCACATAGAAAACAGCTATTTTTAATTGTAATAATATTTCACAGTTTTTACTGTTTTATGGTATTTTTAAACAAATAAATGGAGCCTTGATAAGCATATAAGAGTTCTTTCAAAATTAAAAAATGTTACTGCCCCCAAACCTTTGAGCACTAACTTCCAGAACAATGTACAAGTTGTAGACTGAAACAAGTTTTCCAAGTGTGCTGTAATGAAATGAACAGGGAGGCACATCTCCAGGAACTCTGCCTCCTTCACCCCGTCTGCATGCGGCTTAATAATCAAACACATTTTCCGATTGGAAATCTGGCAAGCGTGTGCTCCTGTCAGAGTCAGCCCACCCTTTGGGCAAGTATGCTAATCAGCATTTATTTAATTTGACAAAGACAACATACGAATGCAGAGCTATTAAATATTCAGCGCTCTCTTTTGAGCGCCGTAGCCAGCGGCAGAGCTTTCTCAATTTATCCTTATCCATAAAGAGCCTCGACTAATAGCATCAGCAGAGATGAAGAGCATTTCTCACAGCCCTCATCTGCCTCTCTGCTTTAGTGCTGCTGTCTCGCTCTTGTACATGCAAATGAAACCGAAAGTGTGTGTGTGAAATATAAATACATATATTCTGACACATATAACATATGTTGCCAAAAAGACCATTACAAAGACAGACTTAAGGACGGACACAAAACCTATCTAGAGAGCAGAATATCACTGAGACATGAGGATGCATGACCCTTTTGATGTGAGACAGCAGGAAACCACCTAACAACCATATAGAACACCCTAGCAACCGATTAACTGCTTTAAAACGATATGTATCATGAAAAGCGCTATACAAATAAATGTGAATTTAATTAAATTGAATTATCAACACCCTAGCAACCGCATAACAATACCCTGGTAACCACCCAAAACACTCTAGCATCTGCAGAGCAATACCCTAGCAACTGCAGCACCCTGGCAACACCTTGGAAACTACACAGAACACCCTTGCAACCACAAAGTACACCCTTCCAATCCCAAAGCAACACCCTAGCAACTGCACAGCAACACCCTGGCAACCACACAAAACACCCTAGCAATCACATAGCAGCACCCTGGCAACCACACCCTAACAACCGCAATGTAACACCCTAGCAACTCCATAGCAACACTTTGCCACACAAAGCATGCTAGCAATCACGTATAAAAAAACGTATAAAAACACCCTAGCAACTGCATAGCAACACCTTGGCAACAACCCATAACACCCTAGCAACCACACAAAAACCTTAGCAACTGCGTAGCAACACCTTGGCAACCACCTAGAATCTCCTAGATTATCATTGCAGTGAGTTTTTCACAACTTACATTCATCAATGTAAAAATCTAGTTATTGAGACACTGAGTAGTTTATAATGTCCAGGACAAGTGGATTTTGTGAAGGGGCAAGTGAAAGAGAATTTTACTTGCCCGACCAGACAAGTAACCTGATTAAAACGTCAATAACAAACAATAATTAGGGCATCACCGAAACTTTGGTGAGAATGATTCTGAAAAAAATTTGACTTAATATTTGATATAGGTTAGTAACGTCAGATGACCAAGAGTGATGTTTTCCAGACTATCAGCACGATTGCAAATGTGACATGAGTCAATGATTCAGTGAGCCATTCATAAAGGCAGTCACAAAGGCAGTAAAACATTAATCTTATAACATTATTTATGCTAGGGATGCACCGGAATGAAAATGAAAGGCAGAATACCGAACACGGTTTTTCGCATTTTTCACCCCATGTAGGCCTATTTTGCCATTTTTTTCACCATTGCATAAATAATTCACAAAAATGTTACTGAGCAACTGACGAGTAACAGTTTCAGCACAGATTTTCCTCGCGCTTTGGACTTTGAACCCTGGCGCCGAGAGCTCGTGCAGCGCTGTCAGAATACATGCAATTCGTGCGTGCATTAGAAAATATAACATTCTGCAGTTTATTTACTAATCGTTTGAGGCCATTTCGCGATTTCAATCATCATACAATAGCCTAACCACCAGCATCGGCCACCTCTTCTCATCGGAGAAATGTGATGCAGCACTAAACAGTCTCTCGTGCTTGTAATGATTTCTGCGTCTTTCTATGATAGTTTAAAATACTTTCACACTGCCCACGTTTGCTGCATTAGTGCGTGCCTCTATTTGATCACGTTAGTCATTGTTCGGTACATATTATTCGGTCTTTTCGCTTATTCTCGCTTATCGAAATCGCTTAATTTCGGTTGCCGAACATTTGGTGCATCCCTAATGTATGCATTTGCAATTGTACTGTGTAAATGCATTTATGGAACCTCTTATCTTCATTAAAAAGCCTGAGTAAATACATCTAAATGGCACTTTTGATGAAGCTTCTGTGCTTCCTCTGCAGTGGAAAGATGTAGTTTGTTGAAACTGATTTCATTTGAATGGTAACAACCATACAGTGTCTTATTATTCTAACTGAATGTATTGATAAAATGTAAGAATTTGACGTACATGATGACACATACATTTAATAAGGTTAGGAAAATATTGCCCTTCATAAAGTTAAAAAGTGTCCTAGAAATCAATTAAAGGCAAATATCACAAATATGCCGATTAAAGTAAGACCTGATAGAGCACTGATGAGATTATTGCTTGAGAACCAATTACATTTATGGCAAAAAAAAAAAAAAAAATTTAGGGAAAAAAAAAAAAAAAAAAAGCTTTTTCCCCCCGGACAAGTAACTTTTTTACTCTGACAAGTGAATGACTGATTTACTTGTGAGTAAGGCATGTCAAGCCCTGATGTGTTTAAAGATGTTCTCATTTCTGCCAATTCAGTTCAACAGCTCTGTTATCCGGAGGGAACACATTGTGATTTAATGTGCTTTTAATTTCTACAAGACGCCAGAGACTTTCATCATTATGACAATTGCACAAATTCACAATCTGAAGAGCCTCCAAAAACCTCTGCTGTAATATTATGAAATATTAGCAATATACATGTTGCAAAAAATATTTTGTATGGTACACTGAAGCATCTCTTCCCGCTGTAAACATGTTATTTACAGATTACCCGAGTTCATGTTTATCTACAGATTCCACTTCATGCAGATCATACAGAAAACACTAGCAACCTATGCAAAACCTGGGCAACCAAACAGAACACCCTAGCAACCACATAGCAACACCGTGGTGACCACTGAAAACAAGTTATTTACTGATTCACCTGAGTGCATGCTCATCTACAGATTCCACTTCATGCAGACCATAAAGAACATCCTAGAAACTGCATAGCAACACCCTAGCAACCACATAACAACACCCCGTTGACCATCCAGAATGCCCTAGCATCTGCATAGCAACACCCTAGCAACTGCAACACACTGGCAACCATCCAGAATATCCTAGCATCTGCATACAGCAACACCCTAGCAAATGGAATACCTTGGCAACTAGATAGAACACCCTAGCAACCAAAGTAAACATGATATTTACTGATTTCATGTTCATCTGCAGATCTGCAGGCAGGACATACAGATTCCATTTTATACAGACCATACAGAACACCATAGCAACCGCATAGCAACACCCTGGCTACCACTGTAAACGTGTTATTTACTGATGCACCTGAGTTCACGTTCATCTGCAGATCTGCAGGCAGGACACACAGATTCCACTTCATACAGACCATACAGAACACCATAGCAACCGCATAGCAACACCCTGGCAACCACACAGAATACTCTAGCATCTGAATAGCAACACCCTAGCAACTGCAACACCCTGGCAACTAGAGTGAACACCCTAGAAACCACACAGAACACCTGAGCAACTGCATAGAAGCACCCTGTCAACCACTGTAAACATTTTATTTACTGATGCACCTCAGTTCAAGTTCATCTACAGATATGCAGGCAGGACACATGGATTCCATTTCATACAGACCAATGCCGAACACACTAGCAACCGCACAGCAACACTCTGGCGGCCAAACAGAAGACCCTAGCAACTGCATACCAACACCCTGGCAACCAGGGTAAACATGTTATTTACTGATGCACCTGAGTTCACGTTCATTTACAGATCAGCAGGCACACGGATCCCACTTCAATCTGAAGTGAAAACGCATTAGGAGAATTCTCACAGATGCCATTAACAGACACGGTCTTCGGAAGTTCATAGCCTCTGGCGAGTGAGTGTGTGTGTGATGATCTGCTCACAGACGCTCTTTGGCAGTGTCTTTCAGTAAGTCTAAGATGCTGTCTGGCAGGCGGGCAGGTCCAGGCCGTGTGCCACCAAATGTTACAGTCACACACACAGGAAGAGGAAAACAGCGGGACGTCGGGAAGTGTTGTGACCCAGAGGACGCAGAAGGGAATCAGACGAAACAAAACAAAGAGAAGGAAAAGGTTCCATTCATCAAAGGCATGATAATGGCTGACGTGCTCGTTCACACCGCGGGAGAAGCGATGAAACGCCAGGAGTCTTCATGAACGTGATATATGTGTTGGCCCTGTCTACAGCTCATGCACAGAAATATAATATACTCAGTTTGTCTGTCATTAAACTGATCTATATCACCGTGCTCATGCAAATGGCTCATTGTTACCATGACAACCAGGGTCAGGCAAAATACAGAGTTTAAGAATGGGCTTCCTTTGTGTGAGTTTAAATTGAACTGGCCACAACATACTGGATGCTGAATTGGAATGAAAGGAAGAGGAATTTACAGAATTACACATTTGGATTATATATATATATATGTATATATGTATATATGTATAAACATATATGGGGCTAGTACTTTTCTGCTTACCAAGGCTGAATTTATTTGATCAAAATTACAGCAAAAACAGTAATATTGTAAAAATATTAGTCTATATAACAATATATATTTCATTATAATAAATTAAATTAAACTTACACTTACAACAGTTTGTTGAATTTATTTCAGTTATGTTCCACTTCAATTCAACATATTCCAATTTGAATTCCAATTCTGCATCCTGTTTCGTATTCAAATTCAGGAATTTAAAAGTCATTCCCAGTGTAATTCTGAATGGCACCAATCCTGATAGCGACTACATCTCTTACAGCATCTATCAAACCTGCAGCAGTTGCTAGACAGTCGCCAGGAAGAGTAAACCATGATTTAATAAGCGTCTGTGAGGTCATAACCCCCCGAGCCGTTCCTGAGACTCCAAACCACATCCAGATTTTCCAATTCCACTCGCGTCAGACAAAACATGTGATTCATTCTCCTCTTATAAACTGACTCCCTCCTGTAATATTGGATTTGGAGACCTTGAGAGATTAAAATCCATCCTTAAATTCACAATATTAGAAAAATATGCCATCTCAAGCATTTCGAGGTGGGGGGTCAGCAGTGTGCCCTGACCTTTGACCTCAGAGAGACACGCTCATACGGCTCATACTGTATTCAGCTTAATAGGCTGCAGATGTGAACATCACTTAATAGCTTTCTGCATTTTCCATTTTCAACAGCAGTGCAGAAAGGAAAACAGTGTTTGTCTCAGATAAGAAATCCCTCCTGATGGACACCGTCTCCTGTCCGTGAGAGCTGACAGACAAAAACATGATGAAATACATCCTTGTTTGATTTAACCTTATGTCTTGATTAAACTGCTCAAGTGGATAACAGCATAACAACAGAAAACCTCACTGACTGCGCTGAAAGAACATGTGACGGGGGCTTTTTCATCTCGCAAACAGCAATTTGTCATTTTAATCCTCATTATACGACCACATTTGCAATAAGCTCTATACTATGGTGTCATGTGATCACACTACAAATCTCTGACTAATGAAAATTACAGGCACATTTGTAAAACAACACACTACTGGTGAACGCTGGCCCACACGAGTCACAGCGAGCTGTTTTATTGATGTAGAAATAAATAATTGGAGCTTTTGATGTTATATTGTTTGCAGACTATATCACACACACACACACACACACACACACACACACACACACACACACACACACACACTGACTGACACCCTCAAACATAGAACAGCCTAGCTACCCTATAGCAACACCCTGGTGACCACACAGAATGCCCCAGCAATCACATAGCTACACCCTGGCAACCATACAGAACACCCTAGCAACCACATACAGTAGCAACAGACTGGCAACCACACAGAACATCATAAAAATCAAATAGCAAAACCCTGCAAACCATACAGAACACCCTAGCAACTTCATAGCAACACCATGGCAACCACACAGAACCCCCTAGGAAGCACATAGTAACAGCATGGCAACCACACAGAACACACTAACAATCACACAGCAACACCATAGCAACTGCATAGCAACACCCTGGCGCCACACAGAACACCCTAAAAATCACATAGTAACACCCTGACAACCATACAGAACACCCTAGCAACCACATACAGTAGCAACACCCTGACAGCAATACAGAACACCCTATCAACTGCATAGCAACACCTTGGAAACCACACAAAACACCCTAGCAATCACATGAGAACACACTAGCAACCATATAGAACACCCCAGGAAACCACATACAGTAGCAACACCTTGGCAACCATACAGAACACTCAAGCAACTGCATAGGAACACCTTGGAAACCACACAAAACACCCTAGCAATCACATAGCAACCATATAGATCACCTGAGAAACCACATACAGTAGCAACACCTTGGCAACCATACAGAACACTCAAGCAACTGCATAGCAACACCCTGGCAACCATACAGAACACCCTAGCAATCACCTAGCAACACCCTGGCAACCACACAGAAAACCCTAGCAACCACATACAGTAACAATAGCCTGGCAACCACACATAACATCCTAGCAACTGCATAGCAACACCCTGGCGACTAGACAGAACACCCAAGCAATCACAGAGCAACACCTTAGCAACTGCATAGGAACACCTTGGCGACCACACAGAACACCCTAGCAATCACATACAGTAGAAACACCCTGGCGACCACACAGAACACCCTAGCAATCACATACAGTAGAAACACCCTGGCGACCACACAGAACACCCTAGTAATCACATAGCAACACCTTAGCAACTGCATAACAACAACCTGGCAACCACACGGAACACCCTAGCTACTGCATAGCAGCACCCTGGCGACCACACAGAACACCCTAGCAATCACATACAGTAGAAACACCCTGGCGACCACACAGAACACCCTAGTAATCACATAGCAACACCTTAGCAACTGCATAACAACAATCTGGCAACCACACGGAACACCCTAGCTACTGCATAGCAGCACCCTGGCAACCACACAGAACACCCTAGCAATCACATAGCAACACACACACAGGCTGGTTTCACTGCTTCTGAAGTATATGTATCTTGATTTAAGAATTGTTTTGACAGTTTTAATGGAAAACAAGACAAAAACACTAAATTCATAATTTTTTGCAGGGTATAAATCAGTTAAGAACACCACTAAAAATCCGGCAGACCTTTTTTCAGCTGATGCTATTAGAGAGAGATGTGACAGTCTCATGCGATAATGTCAGTCAGTGTGAAACGGCCACAATCAGAGCGAGCGATAACATTTGTGCTGAGCGGCACCTTTACAACTGCATGTCTCTTCAAACACTGATTCAGAGAAATGTCACTGATAACCACCATCTGAAAGTGACAGTACTCACACCATAATGATCTTCTGTTTTCTAAATTCACTCAACAACAATCCATGAAAACAGACATTCAAGAGTCGCTAAACTAGTGAGCTGTGATCAACACTAAAAAAACATAAAGACACATAACAAACATAAATACTGGGTATATAACTTAATTAGATTGAACTAGTTTTCATGCCTTTCATTATTGCATGACATATACAGTATTTAGCATTAATTTCTCTTCATTTGAATAATACCAAGTCAACAACCTGTTTCATGACTGATGAACTTAACATTGTTATTGAACTAAATTGAATCAACACTGAACTTGATTGAGCTGAATAATGACACTGCTTTATATTAAATTATTGAATTTTGCAACATTAACACTGCTATTTTCCTGTTTATTACTATTGAAACAATCTGTGTTGTATGAAGCACAATCTAAATAAATTGTATAAATAATGAATAAATAAATGGAATTTACATAAATAAAAATATATATAAAATAAAAGACTTGATCAACTTATTTTGCCTCCTTCCTACTTTTTCCCTCTCCCTAAAAAATACATGCATGTGCCAATCATTTACCCCCTATTTCTGTAGTAATCTGATGGACTGTATAGAGTTCCTGAGCTTTAGAATGGCACAATATAAATAGAAATTATTATTACTGGTCCTAAACCCATTTTAAAAAGTCATTTTAAAAAATTTACGAGGACCAAAAAAAAAAAAAATTGATTGATTGATAAAAAAAGAAAAACATAAAATAAAACAAAAGAAAATAAATATAAAAAAGAAAATAATAAATGAATTAATTCATTATTAAGATAATAGAATAATATTAAAACAAATATAAAATAATTAATAATATAATTTAAATATAAAAAAAATAAAATAAACACTGGCAAAATATCTACAATATTTTCTTACAAATTTAATAAGTATAATATTTCTATTTCGCTTACAACACATAATTTTTTAAATGTCTGTCAATGGAGAAAGATGCGTCTCGCGGTGAGATCTGCGGCATCTAACCACTAGGTAGGTGTTTTCGTCTCTGACCCTAAAGGTCAAGGTCACCGTCAGCTGATATGACCAATTAAACGTTCGGTGAACATGAGCATAACATAATTAAGAAATGCGCAATGATGTGGACGTCAGCATGATATAAAACACTATTAAAAAGGAGTTTGACAGTTTTCATTATAGTCGAAATGAAGCTTGACGGATGAACTGGAAAGGAGGTTTTAATTGAACATTTGCTTAAATATTCCTGCCAGAGAAAGCTGACGTCTTTAACTGTCCCTAATTGCAAAAATACAGATATTAATAACACTGACGACTCTTTCAGCGTGTGCGAGACGAGTCATTGTAAAATATGGCAGCTAAAAGTGGGGCTTCAGCTTCGGCTCTGACTTTCTGTTTGGAATTATGTTCAACATGATTGTCGTGATGTATATTAATTATGATGTTCGCCAGAGAAACAGAAGCTGCCAAGATCTATCTGGCAGGAGCTGAATGAGACAGAACAATCAGTCAGAGAGGGCAAACGTATTTCACAGATGTTCGCTTTGGCCCGAGAGCGAGGATGATGGGACTCGTGAGAAAAGCGATATGCTGGATGACTTTCCCGTCCTCAGCAGCAGCGGCTAGTCAAGCACATAATAACGGCTCTCCGTGTAACGATATGAAGATCCGCGCTCGACATTATGAGCGAAAACTAATGAGGTTTGCCTGTATTTTCATCTCACCTTGTCGACAGGTGTCCTTCAGCGAAACCCTCAAATTGCATTTTCTTTGCAAAGAATATTGATTCATATTGATTTCTGCCCTCCCTGGATTCTATATGCTTTCGTCCTTGAGAGTGAATCTCAAAATTTACAGCCTCGACCCAATGAGAGAAAATATCGCATTTTCTTATAGTCTTCATGCGGTTGAGAATTATGTGCAAATGGCTTTGTCGCGGACATACAGTGAGGGAAATAAACTTTTATTATGCCTGAAATGAAACAACCTGCAGCCCTAAACTCCATCAGAAAAGTGAGAGGTTAAAAAAAACAAAACACACCTGGATGAACAGGTATGTCCGCTTTCTGAATATTTCACATAATAATGAAACTCTACAGTAGGACGTCATGTTTAAACCTCATTATGCGCGCTTGAACAAACTAAACTCTCCACCTCAAGTCCTCATAACAAAGCCATTTCAAAGGCAGCTGCACAAAACCAGAATAAAAACATGTTTTTGATGTATTTTTCTTAACTGCCCTCTTGGTATTTACATTTATGCATTTGACAGTTGCTTTTATGCAAAGAAATTTACACTGAGTAGATGTTGCACATTTTAATCAGCTCATGCATGTTCATTTAGCTGGTAATCGAACCCATGATCTTGGCGTTGCGAGTGCCACGCTTCTGCTGTTTGAGCTTCAGGAAAGCACACAGAACAAGTGCTTTTTCACACTTCTGTTTAAAATACATATTATCCATACTTTCTCCTTCACTTATGTAAAAAATAGAAATAAATATAAAATAAAAAACATATACAAACACACACGCGCATATATATATATATATATATATATATATATATAAACAGTTTTAAAACTTTAAATAATAGTTTTAATACAG